CTTTTTTTTTTTTTTTTTTTTTGTTGTCACTGCTGTTGCCTTCCAATAATAATATACAAAACGTTTGTTATTGAAATGTCCACAGAACTGTAACTGATTTAGAAGAAAAATCGTTTACTCAGTTTTAGCATACAATAAACGTACTGTTTGTTGTTCGGTTCAGTGATCAACTTTTTCATTCTTTTTTTTTTGGTTTTTTAAAAAAAAATCTATAATTTTATCAAAAAAAAAGGCAATTAATTTTTATTAAATTTGTTTGACAATTTTTCTTTTTTTCCTCTTCTTTTTTAAATTTCTTTATGCTTTTTTTTGAAAGTTAACAAAAAAGAATACTAAAAAAAAAACAATTAACATGATTAACAGCAGAGAAAAAAGAAAAGAAAAAATCAAAATTCTTCTTTAAAAGCTCATAACACTTTATCAACCAAAGAAATACTTTAATTTTACCACCAGAAAAAAACAGACAAGTACTACAGATAATGTTCCTGTTCCTTCTTTGATGACAAACTGTACAGAAATATTGTAAAAGTTATGCATTTATTCAGTTAGTTCTAAATCTGATTTTTTTTAACGTAAAACCAGCGCAAAAAGACCGATTGAAGGAGAACTGAAAGCGGAGGGAAGAGGAGAAACGAGGAAACAGAAGGATGAAAAGAATAACCAAATTAAAATAAAACAAATGAAGTCGGAAATTTCTGCCCGCTAAAATATTATACCGAAAATATTATATAGTTGATAAGTGTCTTTACAGAAAAAAAAAAACCAGACCCGATAATAACTCTGATGATAATTTTATTTTTTTTTTTATTTATTTTTTTTTTTTGCTTACCATTTTCTACTATTTTTTTCCTTCACTGTCACTAATTTTTGCAATAGGTAAAGTCTAATAAAGCCAAACAAAACAGAAAAAAAAAGTGAAATCAAAGAAGAAAGTTTGGACTGTTCAAGAAGACAAATATATAAAAAAAAAATTGTAAAATAAAACACAGCTAAAAATTTGGTTGACAAAAGAAACGCTAAGAAAACTGACGACATCAATTGCTCAAAAAATTTTTTTCCTAAGATTTCTGCAAGAAAAAAAAAAATTGTTGTTTCATGACTCGTTTTCTTCTATTTCTTCTC